GAAACTTGATGGCATTTGGGAGCGAGTTTTATTGCCGTCTTGAAAGTTTGCTTACGCTTGCGAGCATAAATGAAAAGACGCGAATTCAAATTCCTGCTGAAAGCCACCCAACAGGAGGTGAGTGTGTGTGTGTGTTGTCTTTTATTGTGTGTGCCTGCTGTGTGTGTGTGTGTATGTGTGGTGTGCCAACTAAACGTGCCACAAAGCCAAGCTGCCACCCGTGCCTTAATCTAAATCAGCGCCGCTTTGCACTCCAAAGGGGAGAATTTAGGAATTTTTGGTGCCTTGGGACGGTTTCGCCCAACTGGCGTGTAAATATGAATAGCAATTCCCACGGAACATATGTTTGTTTATTCATTCCACTTGCTGTTTGCTGTCGTTTGGAGACAAACAATTAAAATGTGGATGCGGCTTTAATTGAAAATTAATTGCAACTGTCTTCTGGCAGAGCGCAATTTCCACCTCTACACGTTCTTCATTAATTCCAATATATGCGTGTGTATGTGTGCGTGTGTGTATGTGTCTAATTATGGCACAAGTTTGTTGTTTATATCTTGGTTTATAGGAAAAACAAAAATAATAATATCAAAGATATTAAAGAGTTGCCAGCTGAGATGAAATGCAAGTAGAACTTATGAGAATTGCATAGGAGAGCGATGCGTATTATAAGCCGGAAATGAGAATGAGCGAGAAATATTATAGTGAATATATAGTAAACCGATATTACACAATATAATACAGAATTTATATTAAAATATTAATCCAATGCATTTTCATATTAACGAAAGACAAGAGTATTGAAATTAAAAGAAATATTTAACGAAGCAGACGAATGAAATATAATACACAATTGAATATATTATAAACTAAAACTTTTAAATGTAATTTTACATCTACTCATCCACTCATACGAACACTGTTAGTTCATAGAGATCGAAGTCAACTCAAGGGGACAACAAAGTTGTTCAACTGAATAAGAACTCAATTAGAGAGTTTCTGTTTTGTGGCCGTTTGATTAGTTTGCAGCGGGCATCAGCTATTAGTGCGAATCGAGCCATTCCATTGAGTGGGGTGAGTGCAAATGGAATTTAACCTCGAGCGGGGAATGGAGCACAATAAATGAGCTGCTATTGGCTACTGATTGTTGAACTCTTGAACTGCATCGGTGCTTAATGGAAACGCAATCAAATAATTGCGCAAAGTGTGCCACAATCAAATATAGCAACAAATTAAGCAACGCCAACACCAAATCAACCAACAACAGCAGCAGATGATGAAGAAGAAGAAATTAACTGTCAATGCGGTTTGCTTCTGCCTGCAAATCGATAAATCGACAAAACCGCAACAAAAGTCCAAGAAGAATAAGAAGAAGAAGAAGCAACAGCAGCTGAAAAATAGTTAAGAGACGCGAAATAAGTTATCCGAATGCCCCCCACAACCGACGTCTGGCCGCGTCCAGAGACCCAAGCGATAAGTTTACAATTGCTTATGACTTCAATTAATCTGTGGAAAGCGCCTACGCGCTGCACTCCATGGGCGAAGCACAGGGAGGTGTAAGAAGAAGTAGAAGAAGAAGAAAAGAAAATGAAAAGAGAGAGAGAGAGAGAAAGAGTCGAAGCAGAAATACCCTTACAGCTATAAGGTTCCTCCATGTCAAGTTAGTTCCAATGGAAAATCCACTCAAATGCCTGGTAAAATCTCCTACTCGTACTAGATCTCCGCTGATATGATACAGCTAAAATAATATTGAGATTATGTTTAGAATTTTATATTCTCGAAATCTTTATTTTCCATTTATGATTCTTAATATTATTTGTGGAAGAAAAACATGTATGTAAATACATATATAAAAAAAAAACCTAAAGCTTTTATTCATAAATTTATGAATTTATGAATTTATTATCTAAAAATTTTTATTCTATAATTTTGCAAGTTGCATTAAAAAAGTGTCCAAATATTCCCAAGCTAGTGTATTCGGCTGCACAGTTCACACACAAAAAATAATAAAAATAAAATTAAAAAAAAAAAAATGAGAGACTACACAGCCTAGAATTCTGCACGAAAATAGAAATTGGCAAGCGTTGCGTCTGCGTCTGCGTCTGCGTCTGCGCCTGCGTCTGAGTTTCAGTTTGAGTCTGCGGTTGACTCGGCTGGGGCCCTCGCCGCGCATAGTTGCAGCTCAGCGCAGATATAGACGCAGTCGCAGTTGCAGTCGCCGCCGCAGAACACAATTGACCTGAAATTTCATTGAAGATGCGCGCGGGCTGCGGCCAGGGCCACGGTCAGAGGCGCAGTTAGAGCTGAGAGGGGCGGGCGGAGCTGTTGCTATTGTAGATGGGTGCAAGGCTTTGAAATCTATACAAAACGGTAAATTGCTTAGTCATTTGGCCAAGTTGCTGCGTTGATGATGCCACAGCATTCAGCCATAGCCATAGCCATAGCCGTAGCCTTAGCCTGGGTCTCAGCCTCAGAGACCTCGACAGGCGCTGCCCGCATCGATGATTGTAATCATGATCATTATAATTATTTGACTTTGGCATTATTATCAAAATGAAATCGCATGCTGAGTGCAATGCGACCCACACCACACCACACCGCACCACACCACCACGCCCTGCACCACCTATTGCCAAAGTCCATGCCCATGTCCAGCACGCAGCTCTCTGGCATTCTCTAGCTTCTCCTTTAGCTGCCTGGCTCAGAGCCCTATTTCACACACCCACGTGAACGATGCTCGTCTGCAGCGCCACCTCCACTTGCCCAGCTCCAGCTCCAACTGCAGCTGAGCGGGCCAACAGGTGAGGGAATGTTGGCCAGGCTAAAGCTGAAATTGCTTTCTTAAATTTGGATTCGGTTATGTGAGGCACCAACTGAACTTCCTATGGCCACTTCGACTAATTTCTTGGGTGATTTCGATGGGAATATAAGTAATTGTGAGAGAATGGAGGAACCTATTGAGTTTGGGTTGGGGCGTCGTTTTATGTGCCAACTAAATTGAAACCAGACTTTCGGTAAGACTGCCATTTTAACTAGCTTAGCTAATTATGCTTATTTTTGTAAATAAAATGAGTTATGTGCAATGCTCGCCTTCGTTCGTCTATGGTCTTTAATTTAAGTTCCGAAATATATAGCGCATATACGCCCATTGGGGGTGTGGCAAATGCGAAAAGTCTCTATCTTGCACCCAATAGATTCTCACTGGCTTTGATATCTGTATGCATAGTCTAAGACACGCCTACCATAAGATAAGCTAACTGAAAAGTTCTCAGACTATTATGCTATGTACCTAAGCTTAAATTGTCTTTCTGCAAGGGGAGTTCAGATACTGAGATACGCCTACTCACAGATATAGATAGATACGCAGCTGCTTAGATACAGACAGAGATTGGCTAGGCTACCAAATGCTATATAGCTACATATATCATATCTGCATATAGTATATTTATGTTTATAGATAAGCATACCACGCCTACTTCTACATGCTTTCATATTTATACATAATAATATGTAGATACGTTTACTCAGAGCTGCTTATGTGTATCTTTATCTTTATAAATACATAAATACCGAATTTATTACCAAATACATTTCCATATAGTCTATCTCCTTGAACTAAAGTCCAAGCATATTTATTTTATTTCTGGCAATGCTAAATTTTATTTTATTTTTTTTTCTACTGCATCAACAAAACATTTATGGACTTAACTTTAGACCCAGTCCTCGTGCCATTGATAACATGCTTATTAATAAATACATTTATTTAAAGCACAATTTTTACTACAGTTTTGATTGTGATTATAATTATATGAAATCATTTGCTTATATTATTCAACAATCTTCTACATTTACTGCATATATCTACATGATTTTCTTTATAATTTGCAGCTCTAATTTAATTTGCGTTTGCGATTTTCATAATTCGAATTGAGTTCGATATCGAAACGGAGCACCTGAGCGAGTTAAGTGATTGCAGGTGTGTGCGAGAAATCCTTGAGAGGCTCATTTTCAATTTACGCAAAGACAAATCAAATTAGCCAAAGGAAAACGGAAAATGAGTTCACATGCACTCATATGTGTGTGTGTGTGTGGAGCCAGGTGCTCAAATTGCCACAGGTAGATACATATATGTAAGTCGCTGCAAGCCGAAATTCAGCTGCAATTGCAACTGCAACAGGAACCACAAGAGGTTAAGCGAGCAAAGTTCATGAACGTGGCACATGTGTGCGTCTGTGTGTGTGTGTGTCTGAGAGTGTGTGTATTAGCTGCAACTGCATCTCAATTTCAACTGCAGCTGTGCAGTAGCGAACTCCTATTTGAGGTCTCGGTCTCGGTCTCGGTCTCTGTGTGACTGCCGCCGCTTCCAGTCTTCAGTCTCCAGTCTCCAGTCTCCAGTCGCCATTCCCAGTTCCAGCTCCAGCTCCAGTCTTTATATATTGTTTCTTTAGCCACATTCACTGCGTTTGGAAGACTCTTTACCTTCTCACGCGTCTGCAAAGATTTTCATAATTGTAAGCGCCATTTCATTTATTTTGCTTCTCTATTTATTTTTTTGGGCAAGAGCAAAGTTGATTATGATATATGTTTAGGCGCAACGGAACGTGTTTAAAGTTGGGAAAGTTAATCGATTGCCATGCATAAGTTCTTAGTCTCGGAACAAACTGAAGAAACTAATGTGAATTGCTAAAATTTTGATTATTATAGAGTATTGACTGTCAGGTCTGTATTCAACTTGAGATAAACTTGACCTTCAGTGGCTAAAGTGCCATAATATTTGATCTGATATTCTGCAGACTGCAACCCTGACCTGAATTATTATCGCACACTTGAGCTATGTGCAACATTTATCTATATCTGCATAGCATTTGCTTAAGTTCGCCTTATCTTGGGCAAATGTATGAAGATTGAGCTACAGTTGCAGGCGGCGCATCCATAGGATTCATTTAGTATAAAAGATAAGACTCTATGGATTGTGAGATATTCGTAAAGCGCTGACTGACAAAATGCCAACAGCGAAATATCAATTGCTCGTTCTGAATCTCTGCCTGGCTCTGCTCCAGACTCCCTTAGCCGAGGCGGGCGAACAATTGGGTTTCCAGCTGGAGCAGGAGCAGCAGCAGCAGCAGGACATCTTTCGCATCAATGGCGGGCAGCTGATGAACCAGTCGGTGCCCTATCAGGTCTCCATGCAGATGATGCGCCGCGCTGGCTGGCGTCACTTCTGCAGCGGCTCCATAGTCAGCGAGCAGCACGTCCTCACCGCCGCCCACTGCGTGGACAAGCTGGAGCTGCAGAGCTTCAGCGTGCTCGCTGGCGTGCTCAACTGGAGGCAGGCCGGCCAGCGGCACAGGATCGTGGCCAAGCACGTGCATCCCCAGTACTCGATGAGTCCGCGCATCGTCTACGACATTGCCCTGCTGCAGGTCAGTCCGCCGTTCCAGCTGCAGCACGCCAATATATCCACAATACATTTGGGTGACAGCGAACGTATTGGCCGCCGCATACCTGTCCGGCTCACCGGCTGGGGCTCCACACTGCCCAGCAGCACGGGCGCTCAGCTGCCCGATCGGCTGCAGGTGCTCGACTATCGGACCATCTCGAATGAGGAATGCGCCAAGCGAGGCTTTCGCGTCACGCCCAACGAGATTTGCGCGCTGTCCGCGCCGGGCCGGGGCGCCTGCATGGTGAGTAACTGACTCGTTCCACTGAGATTCGCCTCAGCTAATCCGCTTCTCCAGGGTGACTCGGGTGGTCCGCTGATCTTGGCCAGCAGCGGCGGCAGCAGGCAGCAGCAGCTGGTGGGCATTGTGTCATATGGCAGCTCCACCTGTGCCCAGGGCAAGCCAGATGTCTACACGCGCGTCTCCAGCTATTTGCCCTACATCAGCGCGATCCTCAACCAGGATCTGCACAAACAATAAACTCCACAAAAGCCCTGCACTTTGTCTCATTTCATTTACTTGTATTTGGTCTCTTGACTCTTTTCTTCTTTTTTTTTGGCGGCTAATTAAAAATCTTGTTCAATATTCGCCACAGTCGTTGGCCTGGCAGCATCTTCTGCCCGGCCTTAGGCCCAGCCCTGGCTCAGGGTCGGCTCTGGCTCTGGCTCTGGCTGTGGCTGTGGCTCTGGCTCGGCTCCAGCTTGTGGACCATGATAAATGCAAAAAGCAATTTATCGCACATTTAACTCAATTCAGTTTCTTTATGGGCAGCCGAAGAGACGGCGAGGGGCAGTGGCCTGGAGCTGGGGGCACGCCTTACAGGCAGTCAGCCAGCCAGCCAGGCAACTAGTCAGACAGACAAAGTTTCGCTAACACGCACGCTTCACAGACTCCAGTCGGCTGCCCCCTTGGCCGGTTGCATGCCACAAGCCGCATGCCGCATGCTGCATGGAACTGTGGCACGGCTCTTGTAATTCGATATTAGATTTTATGTGCGACAAATACGAAGTGCAAACATTTTTATGTTCCCTCAATTTCTATGCTGCATTCGTATTTGTAGTGGAACCAAAGCGAGCGATGGCCCAGGCGGCTCTCCTTGCCAGTTACATAATTAAGTTCCAAACAAATAATACGAAGCTCACGCTCTTCGATTTGACTGCAACAGATTGGCACTGGCGAAAAGAGCCTCAGAGCCAAGAGCTGAACTTAGTTCATGCAGGCAGCTCAATTCATTCGCTTTGGAATGAATCAAGTCGAGCTTATCGCAGCTGAAATGTTGATTCTCATTCGTCTACTAACATCTTTGAATTCCATTTGTGCTTTAGATGTAATCTAGAACTACTTTGCTCCTCATAAAGTAGTTGTTAGTTGAATTTATAAAGCCATCACAATGAATGACGTCTTTTGAAAACACGTCAACGAAACTCCGAGAAGACTTTTTATGGCACTTAAGAGGCTAGGTTTGGTTTATTGGAATAACATTCCTATTATGGAAAGCTATTGAATAAAAAATTTAAATATGTAAGCTTTACTTACTAGTATTAACTAGTTTTCAGTGTTAAAATCTATATATAACTGAATATTTATACGGTTTGTTCTTGGCAGGAGGTATTAGTCGTTTCTTAGTGTTGGCTAAAAAGCGAGGTAGACGAATTATATATAAATTTATATGAAAGGTTTCGTTTTGTAGTTTTTAATTTATATTTAGCATAGCCTTTGAAAACTAAAATAACAAAAATTTAATATTTTTATGATGCGAGGTGTGTAAAAAATCTTAGAAGAGAAGAGAAATCTTAGAATTTCTCTTACTCATACCAAGAATTTGTCCCCAAATATTCCTTACAATACGAGCTTTTGTATGGCAAGTATCACACCCCTCGAATACCCACTCAGACTTGAGTAAACGTAGAAGCACGATAATATAATATAGTATATGGTCACACTGTCCGCTTGGCAAAGCATTGCAATGCGCTTCATTTCCAGTTCCAGTTCCAGTTAAAGCTCGTAATGCCTAGAAAATCTATAGTGACTAAAGAACTACATACATAGCTATGAATATGAATGAGAATACAAATACTATTGAGAATATTATTATGAGTGTGCATTGGAGCATGAGGCGCGAGATGGGGGCGAAGTAAGGCTGAGAGCAGGAGAGTTCTAGCGAGAGAGTGAGACTGAGAGATTGGTCTTGGGTATTCGTTAGACGCTCGTCGCTGACCGCATAAATTCATTTAGATCAATCAATTCAATTTGTTTGTCAATAAAGCCTAAATGAGTATTTCATTTAAACAAATTAAAATTCGACCCATTTGAATGTCGCGCAACAGAAATTCCAACTGAACCCGAGCAACAACAATTAAAATTGACGTCGAAATGAGACTGGGATTGGGTCGAGACTCTGCAGACTGAAGCCAGATATCGCTCTATATACATGCATATACATATCTGCATATACATATGTGTGCATCTGCATAAATATATATACACATACATATATTTACGTATTTGTATATAACTTTGGCTCGACTGTGCTCTGCCAGCCTTTGTTGACTTTTCATTGTCAATTAAAATCAAATAAATTTATTTGCTGCTTGACATTCGCGTTTTTCGCTCACTCTCTCGATTCCGATTCCGATTTCGATTCTGACTCTGATTCGGATTCAGATACAAACACAGATTGTGCCCAGTATCTATGCAAGTGCATTGGGCAATATATTATTTTGACCTTCTTCTCGTATTTATGGCAGTTTATTTAGCTGCGCTCTGCAGCGAATGCGTCGAACCCTAAAAGTAACTACTTAGCCTTGCCCTGCTTGGCCACGGCTTCCATGGCCTTCTTGACTGTTTCGGGATCACCCAGGAACTTCATGGACGTCAGCGGCGCCATGCTGGCGTCTAGCTCATAGATAAAGGGTATGCCCGTGGGCAGGTTCAGCTCCATGATGGCTTGGTCGGAGATCTTGTCCAGATACTTGACGATTCCTCTCAGGCTGTTCCCGTGCGCGGCAATGATCAGCTTCCTGCCCTCCTTTATCTGGGGCACAATCACCTCGTTCCAGTAGGGCATGGTGCGCTCGATGGTCAGCTTTAGCGACTCGGTCTTGGGAAACTCCCCGGGCTTGGGCCCATCGCAGTATCGGGGATCCTGGGTTATGCACTCGTAGTACTGGTGATTCTGCTCCATGGGCGGCGGAGGCGTGTCAAAGCTGCGACGCCAGATCTTCACCTGATCCTCGCCATACTTCTTGGCCGTGTCCGCCTTGTTGAGCCCCGTCAGACCGCCATAGTGGCGCTCGTTGAGACGCCACGACTTCTGTACCGGTATGCCCTCCTGTCCACACTCCTTCAGTATGATATCGAGCGTTTTCTGCGCTCGCGACAGCACCGAAGTATGCGCTATATCGAACCTCATTTTGGCATCCTTGATGGCCTTGCCCGCCGCAATCGCCTCCTTCTGTCCCTTCTCGCTCAGCTGGGCGTCGTACCAGCCGCAGAAGAGATTCTTCTGGTTCCACTCGGACTCGCCGTGCCGCACCATCAACACAACGAACTTATCACAGCTACTCGAGTGCCGCAGCGTCTGCTGCGTTGCCGCGCAGCTGCAGCCCTTCTGGTTGCCCCCGGAACAGGGGCCGAGCGAGTGACTGGCGCAAGCGAGTCTTGGTAGAGCAATCATAACTTCAAATTTATACAACAAGAAAATTTAGTGTTTGGTTTTCGCAAAGCTAAATCTGTAACTGAATAAACCCCATGAGCTTGGGCGCCATGATAGCTAGATATGTAGGAAATTCGGATGGAATGCATTGGTAATATGATTTCTTTTTCTGTTCGAATATAAAATCTAAAGATTGGTAAATTTACAAAACTATATAGATATTAATTTATAAATGTTAATTAATTATATAAACACTATTTTTGTAGTATTATGGAGTAAAATTGGGCAAATTACAAAATTTTAAAATTAAAATTATTATTGTATGTAGAATCTCTGTGAGCTTGGGCGCTATGATGGCTAGATAAATAGAAAATATTTATTTCGTGTTCGTGTATAAAATCTGAAGATTGGAAAACTTGCAATAAAATGAAAATAAAAAATAAAATAAAAATCCAAATTATATAGATAATATTTCTTGTATTATTATGAGCTCTATTGGGCAATTTACTAAATTCCAAAAATATAATTTAAATAATATATATTATTTTAATTGGAATAGAATCGAACTCTGCGACTACAATTGTTGAGTCAATGAAACTATAAATATTATTTCGTACATTAAAATGGAGAGCGTTGCACATGGGCGAGCAGAGTAAATCATTTTGTGCATAAAAGCGAACGACAGCTCAATGCAAACTGTCAAAGTGAAACGCGAGCAGAAAAGCAATTGGCCAAGAGGCGCTTTGAGTATGTGGCTTAGGCTGGATATGGTTAGAGCAGGCGCAGGAGCCGGTGCAGGAGCAGGAGCAGAAGCAGAAGCAGCCATAAAGAGCTTTTACGACCGCCACTAGACGGCAGCTCACATGATAAATTGTCTACAGTGGTCAGCTCTGGTGGTGCTGGCTACCAGAGATCGATGCACCACCAGCCAAATTGCCAACAGACTGAGCAATTTGTAGAGGAGCTGCAGACTGTTTGCCTGTGCCTGCAAGCGCCACTCTGCCGGCAGAGCCAAGCACGGGCCATCGGGCCATGTGGAATGCCAAGCGAGCCGAGCCAAGCTGAGCTGAGCTGCGCTGAGCTGGTCCTCAGTCCGCTTTACAGTTGCCTCGTGTTAATTGAAAATTGTACGGTAATGTTGCTTATCGCCTGGCTATCAGGCGATGTCGTCGTCGTCGTCGTCGTCTCCCAAGTTTGAGGTCTGGGGCTTGCGTGTAGCATGGAGCCGTGCGGCATGCTTGGTGCCACACCTCGAGGCCTCACGCATTGGCAGAGGTGTTTGATAAACATCCAAAGTCATGTCTCAAGATTTTTGTGGGCTTTTTTTCTGAGAGTGTGTGTGTGTGTGTGTGTGTGTCGCTTGCGGTGAAAATTTCTCAAACGCTTTTTGACAACTTTCATGTGAACGCACTTAACAAAATTTATCGCCTCGCGCATTATTTGTGGCTTTAATTGCTTATAGACGTTAAGAACTTGTCCTCCAGCTTCTTGTCGCCGCCAACACCTGCGCGCTGCGCGCTGCGAGCCCGAGGCCGAGGCCGAGGCTTAGCCTTCTAAGCAGGGCCTTAAACGCGTTGCCAGTTGACACGAAACGCGGCTTAAATGCTTTTACCAATTGATTGATGGGGCGACTATTCAGAGTAATGAAATCTATTACTGAAACAAGCCTCAACTTTTGTACTGCTTCAGTTCTTATGTGCACACACACACGTATTTATAATATATATGCCTATGCCCACTGAGAACTTAATTAATTTGCCGCTGCCAATTGCCTTGACGAAATTCCTGCTAAATAAAAGAGAGACAAAATCCACTTTGTATGCGC